TGAGGTGTCTCAGGGGTCAGTGTTTGGTCTTTTGCTTTTTCTTATTTATATTAATTATATTGATAGGGTATAATTTATAATGTACCAAAATTTGCTGATAACACTAAACTTTTTGGTATTTCTAGAGGTATTGAGATTTAAATTATTACAGAAAGACTTTGATCATGAGTTAAGTCGAGCAGGTAGTTTTCAAAGTACCTTTAATTATTACATCTGGGTTATCATAATTACATGTTTAAAATAGATGGTAACCCACTCAACAGCATGTCTGAAGAAAAGGGATCTTGGAATAGTAGTAAATAAGAGTGACTCAAACCATCAAGGCAATGCTCTTAAACTAGTAGTAAAGCCAAGATCAGGATGTATTCATAGACATCCTGATTACCAGTCATGCCTCACTTGGTAAACTACTGTCTCCTTATTTAAGAAACTATGTTAACCTCATGGAAAGGGTTCAGAGGAGGGCTACTATAGTTACTCTGGGGATGGAAGGGTTATCTTATTGGAATAGTTTAAGATTTACTAATATAACTTCTCTTGACAAAAGAAAGGTAAGAGATGATCTTTTTAAAGTTTACAAGATTATCCATCGGACTGATAAGAGCCTCTAATTCTTTTCGTACTATATTCTATCAATACGTTCTTTAACACCAACTTATACAAAACTATCACTAACATCATGTAACTAGCCATTTAATACGAACTTGTACAATACCACTGACATTGTAGAATTACACATTTTAAGCTGTGTAATACGAAGGAAACATTTGGAATTACTACCATATGATAACAGGTTGATGATCATGTATTATTGGAAAAAAAAAAATAGGTTTACTAGAAATGACCATACAGTAACCCAGTGGATTTTCTCAAACAACAACAACAATACTTTACCCAATGAGTTGATATTAGTTCTGAGCAGTGGTTTTTCAGGGTTTCAGCTCCGATCTCATCAGCAATTTGGTAAAACTGAACGCAGTTTCGCACATTTACAGATGACATCAGTGCTCGTTCACACCTATAAAGTTCACCATGATCACGAAAAAAAAAATCAGTGAAATTCAAAAATGGAAAGTGACATCTCAATGATCCTATATCATAATAACAGTTCGCAGCCTAATTTCATATGATTTTGAAACTGAATATTTTGGATGAATATAAAGTTCAAACGGAATTATTAACAAAAGTTGTGATTTTTTACAGAAAAACTTTCTCTCTATCAAATTTTGGTATCGATGCCGATACAAAAATCTTCTGCAACCTTCCACTGTATGTATTAACAAATTACTTTTTATGCAGTTTATAAAAGTGGTTCTTTGTTTGCTTAAACAATATGCTTCTATTACTAAAATCATGCTGTTTATCTCCCTACCAACACATTTGATTTTCAACAGAGGTTAAACGAACAAGATTGATTGATTTTTCGTTTATTTGAAGTTAAGCACAAAGCTACACAATGGGCTATTCGTGCTCTGCCCACCACGGGTATCAAAACCCGGTTTCTAGCGTTGTAATCTGCAGACATACTGCTTTGCCACTGGAGGGGCAAAGATTGATTGATTGTTCATCTGAATATCAACAATGTTAAAGAAACAGCTCACCAAAATAAAACAAAAGTTTCACTTTCTATTTTAAAGGAAGATAAAAGTAGTGTTTTGTTTCTAGTATTTTAATCTTAATTAATTTTAATCTTAGTTGAATATTAATTACCTAAAAATCAGTTATCTTTGGGATAAAGTATTTGGTAACAAGACAGTAAAAAAAAAAACAAACC